CATTATACCATGTGCTGCAGGATCTGTTTTATGTGGTGCACACATACCACATAGATGTATTCTTCATATCTGGCCCAAATGTACCACTCCAAAATTTATCGAGTGAGCGAGCCATGGGGAGATTCGGTTTGGACCCTGAACGTAAAGCCGTAGATCTACGGGGGCGGGCCCTGAAAGGTTAAGGGGACCTATCTTATCTTAACTTTTGTTTTATGATCTGGAAAAAACTTTTTGGGTTAGTTTTAGAATCCTAGCAATTTTTTTTTTATATCCCCTTTTGCTTTTCTTTCCCCCTTTTTAATGGCCCTCTTTAAGTCAAAATACTGATTCATAGATGACCCTACCCTTTTGATACGCCTATAAATTCCTTTTTATCCCTATAGATATTTGACCTATTATTCACCATTTTGGGTCATTTTATTTTATCTATTTTATTTTTTAAGGGTAAAAAGGGGAGCCCCTGATGAGCCATGTCAGTTGTAAAAATTTTTTGGCCTGGGGAGTTCCATGGGGGTTTGGATGTGAGTTTGGAGGATGTGGAAGATTTTGGGGACCACAAACGAAGAGCTAGCCATGAGGAGCTGCAAAAAGCTTCAGCAGGAAGAGCAACAGATTGCAGCTCAGAATCTTGCTGCAGAGGAGGAGGAAGAGAGATGGAAGAAGGTGCCTACTTCAGAAATTAAGGAGATTTTTGAAATGCGGGGTAGGATGGAAAGATTTATGGAGAAACATTACCCTGAGAAGCATGTTGCAAGCCATATCAGCAACTTGTACAGTGACAGAGTCTTAGCCCATTTTAGGGAAGTTTTAAAGAGACGCCAGAAACTGAGCTCTCTGGACAGATTTTTTGCGAGACAGGACTCCAGTGACTCTCAAGCTGGTCCTAGTGGCATTAAGAAACAGAGAAGAGAAGTAACCCCAGAAAAGCACTTGGTATCTGAGGTGTTGATGGAAGGGGATTCCCCTTCCAAACAGTAATTCAATCTCTCTCCTCCTCCAGTCTTCCATACACTAAAAAGAATTGCAAATAAAGGAAAGTGTTATGCTGTTAATGTTTCAGTCATCATGTGCCATTGTATTGTTTATGTACTACATCTATATTTCATGTAAAATTTTTTTTTTGTTTTAATACTTCTGGGTGTCAGGAATGGGTTAATTGTATTTACATTATTTCTTAGGGGGAAAATTGATTTGAAAATCGTCTATTTCGATAATAGTCCCACTTCCAGGAACGGATTATGGATGATAATTGAGGGACCACTGTATCTTGTATTAGCACCACTTGCTTTAGTGATGAATATGGGGAATACATTTTTGCTAATTTTACTATAAAAAACCTTAAGACGCCAATAACAATCTGTGCCATTTACCGGATACCCCACACAAACATCCCAAATTTCATTGAGAAATTAAAGGCACTAATAACAAACAGACAAATGAACAAGCACCACCTTCTCTTAGCTGGAGACTTCAATTTCAACCTTGGCCTACTAGATGATCAGCCTGTAGTTGATTTCATCAACAATATGAACAACACACTTCTCATACCAACAATAACTAAACCAACCAGGATGACTGAGACAAGTGCAACCATAATAGACCATATATGGACCAACATACTTGCCCCCCTTACATCAGGGATAATCACAGACAGCACTACAGACCACTACCCAACCTTCCTCTTAACAAACATTAGTAAGCCAACACTCGAATACAACAAAGTTTCATTTAGACTCCACGATGAAGCCTCAAAAAGGAATTTCACAGCAGACCTAGAGACTGTTGACTGGCCTACAGAATTCTCCAATGCCAATGGTACTGATGATTGGACAGACATTTTTCTTAACAAAACTCTTAGACTATACAACAAACATTGTCCTATAAAAATGAAACAGATCACAAACGGCTTGGTTGCCCATGGCTAACCAGCAGCATTCTGAAATCCATTGATAAGAAACACCAATATGAAAAGCAATACAGACAGGGCTTAATACACAAAGATATTCTTAAACAATATTCATCAGTTCTCACCAAATTAATAAAGCCAAACAACTGTACTAATCCAGCAGATTCACTGACACAAGAGGAGATATAAAAAGACCTTGAAAACACTTTCCCAGATTCTGGGGTCCCACAAACTTAAAAAAAACAAGAATATTGTCCTAACTAAACCTAATGAAACACCACTACATCCCGCTGATACAGCTAACAAGATAAACAACTTCTTCTCAAATAATAGGATCTGATCTCACCAATAAAATCCCACGTACCAATGCCCATGCCAGGGACTACCTAGATGGGAATTTTCCAAATTCCTTCTATCTTGTACCAACTGAGCCCACGGAAGTCACTGCAATTATAAAGTCACTCAAAAATAACTCAGGGAAACTGTCTCACGTCCCACCATTATTGTACAAGTGAGCGGCCCATGTCCTTTCGCATGCTATTACATTACTTTTTAACAAGTCACTAGAAACTAGCACTTTCCCAACATTACTCAAGACACCAAGGGTTACACCAATACGTAAAGGAGGTGACCCTACAGATTTAAACAACTATAGGCCAATATCAAACTTACCATTGCTATCCAAAATCTTCGAGAAACTTGTGCACAGGAGACTATATTCATTTATAACGGCACAAAACATACTAAACCCCTGCCAATTTGGATTCAGGAAAAATAAAAGCATTAATGATGCAATTGTAAAAATGCTAGATCTGCTTTACACAGCATTGGAAAATAAGGAATATCCGCTAGAAATTTTTACTGACCTAAGAAAAGCTTTTGACACAGTAGACCACGGCATCCTACTCCACAAACTTGACCATTATGGTATAAGAGGCCACGCGCTTGCATATTTCAAATCCTACCTTACTAATAGGTATCAGTTTGTCACCATCAAAGACACAGCCTCATCAACACGGCCACTTGATACTGGAGTTCTGCAGGGAAGTGTCCTTGGTCCCCTGCTCTTCCTCATTTACATTAATGATCTTCCAAACATATCCCAACACCTGAAACCCATTCTCTTTGCTGATGGCCTGACTTATGTCATCTCCCACTCTAATCTTGCCACCCTCAACACCATTGTCAACGAGGAGCTGCTCAAAATTCTGACTTGGATGATAGCCAATAAACTTACACTTAACACTGACAAAACCTACTACATTATGTTTGGTAGCAGAGCAGGTGTTGTGAAACTTAACATTAAGATCGACAACACTCTAATTGCCAGACATAATGAGGGCAAATTCCTAGGTCTATACCTCGATAACAACCTAAATTTCAGCACCCATATCCAACACATAACAAAAAGAGTATCCAAAACGGTGGGGATCCTCTCCAAGATATGATATTACATGCCGCAAACTGCCCTTCTCAAACTATACCATTCACTCATTTATCCATAGCTCACCTATGCTATTTGTGCTTGGGGATCAACTGCAGCAACACATCTAAAGCCAATAATAACCCAACAAAAAGCTGCAGTAAGAATAATCACTAAATCCCATCCCTGGCAACACCCCCCATCACTCTTCATAGATCTAAACTTACTCCCTGTTCAGAACATCCACACTTGCTACTGTGCAATCTACATCTACAGGACCTTCAATTCCAATATTAACCTTGACCTAAAATGCTTTCTTGATAGTTGTGACAGGACCCACAGGCATAACACCAGACACAAACATCTCTATAACATTCCCCGTGTCCGACTAAACCTTTACAAAAATTCAATGTGTGTCAAAGGGCCTAAAATCTGGAACACTCTACCTGAAAACTCTAGAACTGCAAACACATTCATCACTTTCAAAACTACAGTTAGAAAACATCTTATCTCCCTGATACACCCTGTCAACTAACTACATGTAAACCACCTGGTGGTTCACACTTACACTCACTCACCCATCGACTATAAACACAGAAATACGAATCTTAATCTTAAAATAATGAACCCTAACTAGTCATAAGCTTGCCTATGATACTCCAATATAGGCACTATGTATTGCGCCAAAACAAAAGCATTCACATTGCTAAACTTACAAACTATAATGTAGTCACTTAGCCTTAATACCATAATCTGTAATAATTTAAAGTTTAGAATTAATCTAAGTCTACCCAAAATGCCTAGCCATGCTAGGTGTCCTAGTGGCCCCCTCTGTAATTAGTATTTTAAAACATGTAAACCACACAATATCCAAAATCTGTAAACCCCGCATTGTAATCCTTATAGAGAATAAACTTGATTGATTGATTGATATTGTACAGTGGTATGTATCAGCCGGCCCAGCCCAGCTGCCAGATGTACAGTCGTAAGTCGAGTGGACGTATGTCGAGCAGGTCGTAAGTCGGATAATAGGTGTATATATAAAATACTGTATGCCTTTTTTTTTTTTTTCAACAAGTCGGCTGTCTCCCACCGAGGCAGGGTGACCCAAAAAAGAAAGAAAATCCCCAAAAAGAAAATACAGTACTTTCATCATCATTCAACACTTTCACCACACTCACACATTATCACTGTTTTGGCAGAGGTGCTCAGAATACAACAGTTTAGAAGCATATACATATAAAGATACACAACATATCCCTCCAAACTGCCAATATCCCAAACCCCTCCTTTAAAGTGCAGGCATTGTACTTCCCAGTTATTGTATGCAATAACTTTAAAACCTCGAAATTTTGGAAAATTTCCAGACATAATAGAGATATGTGCTCATGGAGAATGTAAACAAACTGGGTGGGGCACGCCATATTTCAAAGACAGCTCGCCGTATAGCAGATTTCGGTCATAATTTTAAATTGCTGAATGCCTTTTAAATAGCGGAATGCCTTAAGGCGAAATGCTGTAAAGCGGGGCCCTACTGTATCTGCAAATTTTGGTAGATCTATGACATCATTTAAACTATCCAGAACCTTAAGGGGTATGATTACATATTAAACAAGACATCATTCTACTTTCATACTATTGCATACAAACTACAGTACCAATCCAACATACCATTAAAGTCATCCTTCGTGTGAGTTAGTGCCGAGACTGTTGAGTCTAGGGCAGCAATGACACAGTCCCTTGCAAACATTACTTGAAGGGCATTGAGAATGTGCTGTAGTGCTGCTTGCCTGGAGGCTGACGACTCCAGTGTTAGCACCACACGTGACAGAGAGGGGTTGACTGGTACCCCACCTGCAGCATTAGACGAGCCACAGCTTGCACTTGCCTCTCCTCCAAGAGGGTCTGTCACTCCTGTAGAGTTCAAACATAAGAGTTAACATAACTCAACATCACCTGTATTCAGAATTACTACAACCACTTCAAGTAAAGAAATTACAAAATGTAAAGTAAAAGGACACAAGTGCAACTAATGTGGCATTTTTATTGTGGCAATGTTTCGCTCTCCAGGAGCTTTGTCAAGCCATTACGGCTTGACAAAACTCCTGGAGAGCGAAATGTTGCCACAATAAAATTGTCATATTAGTTGCAATTGCGTCCTTTTACTTTACATATTGTCGGTAATTCTACCAACTTTATTACAAAGAAATTACAGGAATATTTTAACCCTTTGACTGTTTCGTTGTATATATACGTCTTATGAGCCACTGTGTTTGAAGTATTAAAATGCCAAAATTTTAGCAGCTTCAAATCAAGCAGGAGAAAGCTAGTAGGCCCACATGTGAGAGAATGGGTCTCCATGGTCAGTGTGTGCACTATAAAAAAAAAATCGGGAAGCCAGTGGTGCATTGTGGGAATGCCATTTCAGTAGTCCTTTTACAGCATGCCTAGCAGTAAGAAATATGTGACTCCCCAGCGAATGTGGGACTCTTCTCTTCCCAAGTGATCGCTCTGACACAGATGGAAGTGTCAGTGAAGATCAATTTCATGGTTTTGAGGAGTTTTTGACAGAAAAAAATGCCCAGGATACCAGAAGAAAGAAGGAGAAAGAAGAAAGAATGAGAAAGAAGGAGAATGAAAGAGAAAGGAAGAGAAAAATGGAGAAAGGAGAAGAAAGAAAAAGGAGAAAGAAGAAGAAAGGAGAAAGAAGAAGAAAGGAGAAGAAAGAAAAAGGAGAAAGAAGAAGAAAGAAGGAGAAAGAGAGATAATTAGGTAGGAGGATGGAGAGGAAGCTAGCATTGGACCCCACTGTGTTGACAGGCAGTAGGGAAAATGAGTAATAATACAATATGTCATTTTGAAAGCTGCCAGACCCTGACTCAGCACATTTAGAAGTCCACACACACAACACAATGAAAGTGTCGAGTGACTATATATGTGTATATATATTATAGAAACCAGAAGGAAGGATGGAAGGAAAGAATGAAGAAAGAAGGAATGAAAAAAGAAAGAAAGATAGGTAGGTATGTAGGAATGATGACATAGGACCATTTACCTAGGATAGCTACCTAACATAGTAGGCTGGTAGACAGCAACCACCCAGGGAGGTACTACCGTTCTGCCAAGTGAGTGTAAAACGAAAGCCTGTAATTGTTTTACATGATGGTAGGATTGCTGGTGTCCATTTTTCTGTCTCATGAACATGCAAGGTTTCAGGTATGTCTTGCTACTTCTACTTACATTTAGGTCACACTACACATACATGTACAAGCATATATATACATACATACCCCCTGGGTTTTCTTCTATTTTCTTTCTAGTTCTTGTTCTTGTTTATTTCCTCTTATCTCCATGGGGAAGTGGAACAGAATCCTTCCTCCGTAAGCCATGCGTGTCGTAAGAGGTGACTAAAATGCCGGGAGCAAGGGGCTAGTAACCCCTTCTGTATATATTACTAAATGTAAAAGGAGAAACTTTCGTTTTTCCTTTTGGGCCACCCCGCCTTGGTGGGATACGGCCGGTTTGTTGAAAGAAGAAGAAAGAAGCTACCTAACACAACTGTCTGCTGCTACTTTGAAGAAAAACTGCTCAGATGAGGTGTTTTGTCTGTGCATATAAAAAAAAAAAAGCCCACAAAATTGCAGAGACACTCTTTTTATGTGTAAGAAATGTAAAACACCATTGTGCATGAAACCATGTTTCAAAGAGTTCCACAAGCTACAGAACTTCTAGGAACATGTCCAGTGACTGTACATTTGTATATATATTATAGAACAATAGTAATGAAAAATTTTTGTATTGTTTGTGCAAACAAATTTTGTAAACAACATATTGATAATTATATTTGTGCATTTATTGAATTGTATACAAGGAGTGTATATATATGTACACTGCACTTTACTTTGGTCTCACAGGCCACATAAGATATGTGAAAAAATAAAATTGTGATAAAAAACAAGAAACCTTCGAATGCAAGTAAACTAAAGTTTACCGGGTGAGCGGCATTCGCCGCTGTTGTCATACGTGGCTCATTTTCAGCCAACTTTACTCCTCTATATCTCGGTAAATACTGATCGCAAAAAAATTTTTTGCGCTTAAAATAATCAGAAAATTAATTTTACCATTTTCATAAGAAATTTTTTTTTTCTGAATATTTTTCGACACCAGGAGACACTTCAGGATTTGGGATTGTGACAGTCAAAGGGTTAATGAAGACAAAAGCACTTTTACAAGGGTATTTCTCTTAAAGAAAACAATAAATTCAATACCTATTTATAAATTTTCTTTTCATGATCACACTTTCTTTCGCACAAAACAACACACATTATGTGTACCTTATTTCTCTACCTTTATTTCAAATTTCCTGTCTACCTGTCTACTGGCAACACTACCTTCCTCACTCTACCCCTTTACTTTTCTCTCCCTCTTTCTCAATTGTTAGCTTTTTGATTTGTCTCTTCCATTATATTATTCATGACTTACCTAGTGGAATGGTTAAAAAATACTGTACATGTTTCTTACCAAGTGCATGAGCCCCAAGAGGGTCCTTTGTGGTAGTAAACATAACTGGTTCTGTGGCAGCTGGAAGGGGTGGATCGGGAGCTGTCCAGGCAACACTGTGAGAAGATCCACATGCAACACGTGCCACTTTTACTCCTTCCAAACCACACACCAGAGCAGGACGGCGATTGACAATTGTGGTGCCATTGCCTTGTTGACCATGATCATTATCACCCCATGCATATACCTGAAAACCATGGGCATAAAAAATGTACAAAACTAATGCTGCTTTTTTGTGAATGCAAAACATAACAAATGTGACGGTCTGGAGTTTTGAGACTCTCTGACAGAGGGTTCAAACCCCACCCATGGTATGATAACTAAGAATTATAAATGTCACAAAATATTTGCAAATTTAATGGGTTTATCACACCTGATAAATATTTTTTTTCAAGGTACCGGCCGTCTCCCACTGAGGCAGGGTAATATAAAAAGATACAATAATCTATACAGGATAAGGGGTTACTAGCCTCTTGGTCTTCTGATATATATATACAGTGGACCCCCGCATACCGTCGGCATCACATAACGTTTAATCCGCATACCGCTCGCTTTTATCGCAAAAATTTTGCCTCGCATACCGCTCAAAAACCCGCTCACCGCTGTTCGTCCGAGACGCGTCCAATGTGCGCCCTTAGCCAGCCTCACATGTGCCGCTGGTGGCATTGTTTACCAGCCAGCCTCCGCGGTAACATCCAAGCATACAATCGGAAAATTTCGTATTATTACAGCGTTTTTGGTGATTTTATCTGCAAAATAAGTGGCCATGGGCCCCAAGAAAGCTTCTAGTGCCAACCCTACAGCAATAAGGGTGAGAATTACTATAGAGATGAAGAAAAAGATCATTGATAAGTATGAAAGTGGAGTGCGTGTCTCCGAGCTGGCCAGGTTGTATAATAAACCCCAATCAACCATCGCTACTATTGGTGGTACAGCTGCTGCTGCTGCTGTACCACCGTCAGCTGCTGCTGCTGCTGCTGTAGTACCGTCTGCTGCTGCTGTAGCATCGTCTGCTGCTGCTGTAGCACTGTCAGCTGCTGCTGCTGCTGTTGTAGTTACATCCTGCTGCTGCTGTAGTACCGTCTGCTGCTGCTGTAGCATGTCTGCTGCTGCTGTAGCATCGTCTGCTGCTGCTGTAGCACTGTCAGCTGCTGCTGCTGCTGTACCACCATCAGCTGCTGCTGCTGCTGCTGTAGTACCGTTCTGCTGCTGCTGTAGCATTGTCTGCTGCTGCTGTAGCATCATCTGCTGCTGCTGTAGCACTGTCAGCTGCTGCTGCTGCTGCTGCTGTAGTACCGTCTGCTGCTGCTGTAGCATCGTCTGCTGCTGCTGTAGCATCGTCTGCTGCTGCTGTAGCACTGTCAGCTGCTGCTGCTGCTGTACCACCGTCAGCTGCTGCTGCTGCTGTAGTACCGTCTGCTGCTGCTGTATGCATCTCACTGCTGCTGCTGTAGCATCGTCTGCTGCTGCTGTAGCACTTGTCAGCTGCTGCTGCTGCTGTACCACCGTCAGCTGCTGCTGCTGCTGCTGTAGTACCGTCTGCTGCTGCTGTAGCATCATCTGCTGCTGCTGTAGCATCGTCTGCTGCTGCTGTAGCATCGTCTGCTGCTGCTGTAGCACTGTCAGCTGCTGCTGCTGCTGTAGCACCGCTGTTGGTGTGGCTTATTGAGAATACCAAGAAACAATTAATCCCAGAGGATTTGCCACCCAGGATAACCCAAAAAAGTCAGTGTCATCGAAGACTGTCTAACTTATTTCCATTGGGGTCCTTAATCTTGTCTCCCAGGATGCAACCCACACCAGTTGACTAACACCCAGGTGAACAGGGAAAAATGCCTGGAATTGGTGAATTTAAAGCCAGCAAAGGTTGGTTTGAGAGATTTAAGAATTGTAGTGGCATACACAGTGTGATAAGGCCTGTTCTGGAAGAAAATGCCAAACAGGACCTACAGTACTCAGGAGGAAAAGGCACTCCCAGGGCACAGTGTCTCATCAGTCATTGCTGCATCTTCAATAAAGGTAAGTGTCATTTATTCTTCATTTAGTAGAGTAGTACATGCACAATATATATTGTGCATGTACTACTCTACTATTGTGTGTAGGAAAATGTATATTTCATGTGGTAAAATATTTTTTTTCATATTTTTGGGTGTCTTGCACGGATTAATTTGATTTCCATTATTTCTTATGGGGAAAATTCATTCGCATACCGATCATTTCGCATAACAATGAGCCCTCTTGCACGGATTAAAATCGCTATGCGGGGGTCCACTGTATATATATATATATATATATATATTATATATATATATATTATATATATATATTATATATATATATATAATATAGTATATATATATATATATATATATATATATATTATATATATATATATATATATATATATATATATATATATATATATATATATATATATATACACACATATTCTTTTTTCAACACACACCGGCTGTATCCCACCGAGGCGGGGTGGCCCAAAAGGAAAAATGAAAGTTTCTCCATTCACATTTAGTAATATATACAGGAGAAGGGGTTACTAGCCCCTTGCTCCCAGCATTTTAGACGCCTCTTACGACACACATGCCTTACGGAGGAAGAATTCTGTTCCACTTCCCCATGGAGATAAGAGGAAATAAACAAGAACTAGAAAGAAAATTGCAGAAAACCCAGAGGGGTGTGTGTATATATGTGCTTGTACATGTATGTGTAGTGTGACCTAAGTGTAAGTAGAAGTAGCAAGACGTACCTGAACAATCTTGCATGTTCATGAGACAGAAAAAAGGACACCAGCAATCCTACCATCATGTAAAACAATGACAGGCTTTCGTTTTACACTCACTTGGCAGGACGGTAGTACCTCCCTGGGCGGTTGCTGTCTACCAACCTACTACCTATATTATATATATATATATATATAATATATATATATATATATATATATATATATATTTATATATTATATATATTTATATATATAATATATATATATATTAAATATTTTTTTTTTTTTTTTTTTTTTTTTTTTTTCAACAAGTCAGCAGTTTCCCACTGAGGCAGGGTGACCCAAAAAAGAAAGAAAATCCCCAAAAAGAAAATACAATGGGCTAGTAACCCCTTTTCCTGTAAAGATTACTAAAAAGAATAAGAAGAAGAAAATTGTCAAAGTGGGAAGTCTGAATGTGCGTGGATGTTGTGCGATGATAAGAAAGAGATGATTGTGGATGTTATGAATGAGAAGAAGCTGGATGTCCTGGCTTTAAGTGAAACAAAGCTGAAGGGGGTGGGAGTTTCAGTGGAGAGGAATAAATGGGATTAGGTCAGGGGTTTCAAATAGAGTTAGAGCTAAAGAAGGAGTAGCAATAATGTTGAAGGATAAGCTATGGCAGGAAAGAGGGACTATAAATGTATTAATTCAAGGATTATGTGGAGTAAAATTAAGGTTGGATGTGAAAAGTGGGTTATAATAAGCGTTGTATGCACCTGGAGAAGAGAGAAGTGTAGAGGAGAGAGAGAGATTTTGGGAAATGTTGAGTGAATGTGTGGGGAGTTTTGAATCAAGTGTGAGAGTAATGGTGGTTGGGGATTTCAATGCTAAAGTGGGTAAAAATGTTATGGAGGGAGTAGTACGTATAATTTGGGATGCCAGGGGTAAATGTAAATGGGGAGCCTTTAATTGAGCTATGTGTAGAAAGAGATTTGGTAATAAGTAATACATATTTTATGAAAAAGAGGATAAATAAATATATAAGGTATGATGCAGCACGTAATGAAAGTAGTTTATTAGATTATGTATTGGTGGATAAAAGGTTGATGGGTAGGCTCCAGGATGTACATGTTTATAGAGGGGCAAGTGATATATCAGATCATTATTTAGTTGTAGCTACAGTTAGAGTAAGAGGTAGATGGGAAAAGAGGAAGGTGGCAACAAGTAAGAAGGAGGTGAAAGTGTATAAACTAAGGGAGCAGGAAGTTCGGGTGAAATATAAGCGACTATTGGCAGAAAGATGGGCTAGTGCAAAGATGAGTAGTGGGGGGGTTGAAGAGGGTTGGAATAGTTTCAAAAATGCAGTATTAGAATGTGGGGCAGAAGTTTGTGGTTATAGGAGGGTGGGTGCAGGAGGAAAGAGGAGTGATTGGTGGAATGAAGTAAAGGGTGTGATAAAAGAGAAAAAGGTAGCTTATGAGAGGTTTTTACAAAGCAGAAGTGTTATAAGAAGAGCAGAATATTTGGAGAGTAAAAGAAAGGTAAGGAGAGTGGTGAGAGAGTGCAAAATGAGAGCAGATGATAGAGTGGGAGAGGCACTGTCAAGAAATTTTAATGAAAATAAGAAAAAATTTTGGAGTGAGTTAAACAAGTTAAGAAAGCCTAGGGAAAGTATGGATTTGTCAGTTAAAAACAGAGTAGGGGAGTTAGTAGATGGGGAGATGGAGGTATTAGATCCGAACCCTTGACTGGTCCGAACCCTTGACTGGTTTCAAACGGTTTCGTTGGACAATAAAGCAGACTGTAAATGGATGGGATTGTAGGCGCCCTTATAAACACAAACATTAAATATAAATCAGGAACGTCCATGGTAAGCTGTCCAATATACAAAAACAGTTAGAAACAGAAATACAAATAGCTAGAGCTTCATTTAAGGAGGTTATTAATAGAATATTCAAGAGGTTGCTAGTAGAATTGCAGTAAATCAACCATTCAAATCATTATGAAGCTGTGTGTAGTCTGTGGTCAGTCAAACAAACGGGCTTCCACATGGGTAAATTGTCATTTTTGTGGAAATTGGTGTCACGCCCCTTGTGCAGATATCCAAGAACTAGCTACAAGCAGTGTTAAAACAGGGAAGTGTTTTTGGGTTATGCCCAAATGAGATAAATCTGTGGACTAAAAATCACAGGGTATTAAAGAGGACAACATCAAAAGCTGCTTTCATAGACAACCTGGAAGCTTTCTACAACAGATGGGGAACATAAAAAGTCTGGGCTGAATGGTACTGCCCTTGATACTGGCCATGTTGTCAGAAACTGTAAGGCTGGAGATGAAGTCCTGGTAGTCAGTAAATGTGGGGGGCTGATAGTGCTGTCCTGGGAGACAGTAATGGTGAAGCGGAAGGTGCTGTCCTGGGAGACAGTAATGGTTTAAGCTGGAGGTGCTTTTCCTGGGGAGAC